TAGTTATGCTAACTTTCTTCGAAAGTTTCTTCCAGAAGCTTCTTAGCATTGTTAGCTGTCTTCGCAGTAGCACATTTTGTTGAAGCCAAAGTAGACGATCTAGCCTTTCGGAGGTTGTCCGAAGAAATGGTAAAATATTGAATAGCAATGTTTATGATTCACCTTTTCCTCAAAGAATACGGACCAAACAGCAGTATCGCAACAATTTCTGTGGGTTTTGGTCATATTCATATATAAAACGCAAATCTCTTGACATCGTGTCTTACACGTGGACGTAATCAAACATGTGAACCATATCTCATACGTAAAGAAATGGACTTAACGAATATTTTGTGGCATAGGTTCATAGTATCCACTTGAACCTCCTGTACTTGTCCCGGACTTTGAAACGCGTTATTCAAAATCGTCAGTACGGTAGCTACAATCGCGACCAATTGATTTTATCGGCATCTGAATTAGTTTATGCAAATAATTTTTCTACACTGCGCAGGGTAAAAGAAAGTCTATTGTCCTTAGAAAGTTATCCACAGAGTCATACATGCTTTTAGACACGCAGAATTGGAATGCTTTTCTTTAATTAGTCAACTACATCAACTACATTATTTCAACAGATGTTGCTAGTTAAATTATTATGTTTTAATTAAAAATATGCAAGAAAGGAATTATTACCTTATTACGCATGGAGGAAAATCAGCGTTAACAGTAGCAATACTTAAAATGAGAATATAGGTTCCATACGCGTATCATGCATTTTTAAATAATAACCGCGGGTATGAGTTACATGCTGACGTATAAACTGAAGAGACTAATATTTATTTTATTACACATAGTGCTTTGAAGTATGTTGGATAATAAAATCTGGGGATATTATGACACAGCAACGGGTATGGCTTATATGTAGTGATCATGGCTTAATATTCAGAGCTACAAATTCGAAGTAAAGGATGGTTTTGGATTTTTCCATTGGTTCATCCACAAAATCTAATTTTCAATCGAAATAGGGTTTTATTGTATGAGAATGAATATACTGCATTTTCTTTATGAAACTACAAAACTAAGTACATTAGCTAGCTAGACTAAAGTCTGTAGACAGCTATACTAACTGAATAACTGTATAAGCTACTGTACTAAGCTAACTGTCTAAGAATCTTTTAAAACTGCCTTTTCCCAATTTAAACTATATTACAAGTTTTCATAAACTTAAATATTTGGAGATAAACCCTGTTTCTTAATTCCTATGGGAGCTTCATATTATTAGCTTCTAAGTTAATGTACTGGAGCAAATAAAATGTCAAAATCAGCATCACATTCCTTTCGATCACGAAATCGGTTTCATCGATCTCAGAATTTGTACCCTCTAGTTTTGCATATATATATATATATGGGGGGGAAGATAACTTTCTGTATGTTACGAAGTGCATTTCGAACTATGCAACGCCGCTTCAGCTGCGTATAAATTTTCATTCAAAGCCCCCCCCCCGATCTGAAGCACATGAAGTCGATTCCGGCATCCAATAGCGCTTTCGACTTTTCCATTATTCAAGCAATAATTCATCAATCTTCGTACATCCTTGCACCAGCACTAATATTTTATCCAAAATCTTTCTTGCTGTCAGATCTTGAGAGTTACAGCGTTCGTCATATTCTCTTGTCATACTTCTTTTTTATCGTAGTTTCTGCAAGCGACATTTATTCTAGCTATTTGTTGAAATTATTAGTTTCTGTAATTAAATGGATTAGCTGGACGTTTTAGTAAGAGCAAAAACTAAACACCGGCGGCTACTAATAATCTTCCCTTGTAGTTAATTGTCGAGTTGTTAACATATATATTCTTTGTTTCGTTTAGGTTACTTTGTATATGGCTTTATTCTTAATCCCTTGTCCAGAGACTATTTCACTTTTGACTAATACTGTATCCAGATATGGGCAAGAGCTTAAATAATTATGAGACTGTATATATAACTTTAGCTAGGGATTATGAGTACCAGAAATGACAGGGGATAGATTTATGCCCTGGTTTATTTTATTTTGGATCAAAAACACACCAGGAAATTTAAGAATTCTGTACTCAGCACAGGAAATTCGAGAATTCTGCACATTGTTTACCACCACCTTTTCAAAAGACTCTCGGGTGGACGAATTTTAAGTATCTTCATTTCGCGAAGATTCTTCATTCAGAAATGTATATCTCTTCCAGGATATTGTCTTAAACCCGTTGACATAGTACAGTAGTTAACTTACGCTCTCTATCATACCAGCTTGTTAAGGTTTTATACACATATGGTAACGATAAAGTTGTCGATAGATGAACTGTATGTTTTATTTCAGAGTTGTATATAATTTATCAGAATTCGAGAAAATACTTGTACTTGAAAGCATTACTTTTGTGTGTGTACGTTAGGTTAAATTAATTTGTATGCGAATATAGCTTATGTCCAACAGAAAAGAGGCCTTGTTGAAGAATTTTCTAAGGGAAAATTCCATTCCATTGCATTGTTAATTACACGTAAGGAAAACCACGGAAACACCCATGCAGATGAAATCCAATGTTCAGCAATTTTATTCACTCTGCCATTGGTCAGCCTTTTGATTCATAATATGATATGCTTAATATGCAACAGCTGCTCGTACTTCTCTATCCCTCAGTAAAATGTATTCTTGTGTTTAGTAATAATTTAGTTACTTTAGAACAGCTTCATGGCATCGAGAATTTTCATTTCTAGCCGGTAAAATGTATGCTTTTGCTAAAATTCTTTGCTTAATTCGAATTTAGTTCATAATCCTGAGCAGAATGCAACAAAGTCATTGAAGACATGGGGTTACGATTCCTCAAGAAGCAAAAATATTTTGCCATTCAATTTGGCTGAATACTTTTGTTCGTTGCGCCAAAGGGATGTTTTACTTTCTCTCCAAATGCTTACACTGTAGTAAAACACTATACACTGAAGTGCCAAAAGTCATGGGATAGCAATATGCAAATGTACAGATGGCAGTAGTATCGCGTAGAAAATGTATAAATGCGAAGTGCTTTGGCAGGGCTTTCATTTGTGTTCAAGTTATTCATGTGAAGAGGCTTTGACGTGATTATGGCCGCACGACGAGAATTAACAGACTTTGAACGCGGAATGGTAGTTGGAGCTAGACGCATGGATCATTCCATTTCGGATATCGTTAGGGAATTCAACATTCCGAGATCCACAGTGTCAAGAGTGTGCGATACAGTGTATCTAATTTCAGGCATAACATCCCACCATGGAAAGCGCAGTGGCCGACCACCTGCACTTAACGACCGAGACCAGCGACGTCTGCGTAGAGTTGTCAATGTTCACAGACAAGCAACACTGCGTCAAATAACGGCAGAAATCAATGTGGGACGTACGAGGGACGTGTCCGATAGGACAGTGCGGCAAAATTTGTCTTCCTTGGGCTATGCCAGCAGAAGACCGACACGAGTGCCTTTACTGACAGCACGAAATCGCCTGCAGCGACTCTCGTGGGCTCGTGAGCATATCGGTTCGTCCCTAAACGAATGGAGAACCGTGGCTTGGTCAGATGAGTCACGATTTCAGTTGGTAAGAGCTGATGGTAGGGTTCGAGTGTGACGCAGACCCCACGAAGCCATGGACCCAAGTTGTCAACAAGGCACTGTTCAAGCTGGTGGTGGTTCCATAATGGTCTGGGCTGTTTTTACATGGCATGGACTCGGTCCTCTGGTGCAACTGAACCGATCATTGACTGGAAATGGATACCTTCAGCTACTTGGAGATCACTTACAGCCATTCATAGACTTCACGCAGTCAAACAACGATGGGATTTTTATGGATGACAATGCGCCATGTCACCGGGCCACAATTGTTCGCGATTAATTAGAAGAACATTCTGGACAATTCCCACGAATGATCTGGCCACCTAGATCGCCCGACATGAATCCCATCGAACATTTATGGGACATCATCGAGAGGTCAGTTCGTGCCCCAAACCCCGCACCGTCAACACTTTCACAATTATGGACGTCTATAGAGGCAGCATGGCTCAATATTCCTGCAGGGGACTTAAAACGACTTGTTGAGTCCATGCCACGTCGAGTTGCTGCACTTCGCCGGGCAAAAGAATGACCGACAAAATATTAGGAGGTATCCCATGACTTTTGTCACTTCAGTGTATAACCAGAATCAATTCTAAGATTAGTTTTGACCTTATTTTAAATTTGACATTTACATGCTTCCATTCTATTATGTGCAATATACCATTTTAGTTTGAACTCTCCTTTAAATGGAAAGTGTTTTTCATGCTCCTATTTTTACTTAACAAAATAAACTTTGGTTGAACGGATCTCTATCTCTTTGGGCAACAGTACAAATGTTTTCGGGGAAGGGGAAAAACCGTCTCTAATTATAATCCATCCCCAGCTTGAGTTCACATTTAAATTTTATTGCAATAAAGAAGCAGCAGTTAAATATATAAAATTACCTTAATCAAATTTAGTTCTAATAATTGCCAATCTGTATGCGCTCTTTGTAATCCCATCGCAAAACATATATTTAATTGTACGTGTATTTAACGTCAAGCGTTCATTTAACGTAAATTTAGCGTTAATTTTAAACGATAATGGTACATGTAATGTAATACTGCATTGCGATTCGGGTGAATCAAATTATTTATCATATTGAAATAAAATAATAATCATTCATACCAGAATATATCAAAATCATGATTTTTTCAACTATTTTTGTAACGTTTTTTGTTTGAATTTTAAACATTTTTAATTTCAGATTTTTTGAGGTTTTAAGTATACTTTTTTGTTTTTAAATCAGCTCTGTCATAAAATTTTATAGCTCACGTCAGTTTTAATTTATGTAGAAGTTTTTAATTACATTGATTTTTAAATGTGTTATTCAATAATATACACTCTTTTTTTATTTATTTATTTTTTGTTCTTTCTGGTGTAGCCAAACAAAAAGGCAAGACTGTATTTTTAAATTAGATGTGTCTTTATTATGTACAGAAATATTTGCAACATTTTAGAAATAGAAGCACATATTTGGCATCTTCGTTGCAGCACGAGAGGGAAAAGAGCACGCCTGTTTCTTTCTCTCAGATCCCAGATTCTTTTGTAATATTCATGAAAACGCTATTCCCCTGACTACGAAGTATGAGACTCTGACCTCTGCGTGGTTAGCATAAATCTGTAAGCAAATAGGCAAACTTGTGAGTAACATTTAAAAAATACAGCTCGAGCTGGTCCACAGTAGGAATGTATTATTTCTTGTCAACAACAAACATTCTCAAGAATTATTACAGTTTATTTGGTTTTAATATCAAGCGTTCCAGAGGGACGTTAAAAGGAGAGTTGTCCTCATGGAGAACTTTCTAAAGTAAACTGGATTGTATTTACGTTACATTCAGAGAAAACTCTGAAATCCCCCGCAAAATTTGCCCGTTGGCTGAAATTTGAATACAAACAGGCATTAGCAGTTTTCAGCGGTCTCATCTAGTCGGCAGCCGGTTGGCCTCGTTAATGCAGGGAATCTCTATTGATAATTAGAAATGAAAATAGTTGAAAAATTATCCGCAACATAAAAAGGTAGAAAAAGTATCACCCGAAGGTTGAATAATCATAAGTTAAATGCTAATAGTTATGGAAATTTTTATTTAGTGACGAAATAAAAGAACAAAGCTTTCAAGATCCTCACTTTGTTGGCTAGCAAGCTACGTTTTGAAAGCATTCAAAACCAATCGATATGCTGTCGTCCGTGAATAATGGTTCTATAACTCTCTTACTTCTTCTAGGTTTCTGCACTCTTTTCATGCAGTAATGGATTTACCCACATTCTAATGGCGCCGCTGCTTGCGAAGCTTTCTCATTAAATAAATAGTTTATTGTATGGGGATCACTGATATGAACACTTGTAGTTCAAGCCTTTCTTCTAGGTTCAAATCTCTGTAAACAATCTGGGAGTGTTCTTCTTTCTAGTGTTTTACGCATATGTAATAGGAATATAAGCTTAATTTCTGCTTCACGATGGCATTTCTTCTGTAAATAGACCTAGTTCACTTTGCCATAGTTCAATGAATCCAACCCCACCAGCGGCCGAAGTGGCTGAGCGCTGGTATTTTGACTTCGTTCGAATTCAGCAACAGGCTAGCTGCATGAATAGCTCTCAAGTGTTTCGTCATACGCAACGTAGATATGAGCCAGTTTACCTTAAAGGCCCTCCACGAAGGTATAAACGGATAAACTAATAATTCTCGAGTTTCTTTGCGTCAATTAATTAAACCTAACCAATAAATTTTATTCTCCTCCGTAGACGTCCGTAGATGACCCTAGTATACTTTACCATAATATAATAAATTTAATTCTGAACTGTTCATCATATCAAACTGTCTTATTCTTCATAGAACTGTCTTATTATTTTTGTTACAAAGTTTCTCGAAGTAAGATCTAGAATTATGTATCTATAGTGAGGATAGCAAATTGTATGCACAATGTGGCTGAAAGTTCTGTAAGTTCAAACAATAACTGGAATATCTTAGAGTAAAATATTCAATTTCTGAAACTTTCATTATTTTTTAATTACAAACAAATCAAAATTATCTATAATTTCACGTGTAAATATAATTTATTGAAACGAATATAATACTGATTTTGGAGGCTTGCGGAATAAATGATATTTTATCAAAGGCCGAACCATTATTTTAGTAAGGGAGCAGCTTTCAATTTTGTAAGGCCATTCGAAGTTTGTTCTCCAAAATCTTCAATTACGTGGGAGTAATAGCCACAGAAATATGACCTAAGTCTGCATATTTGCTTTTATGTATTCCTACGAATTTTTCATACGTACAAGCATGGAAATTTTCGTTAACTAATCGAACTATATTAGGATATTTTACTGATAGAAGTGCGAGTACGGGTTCGTAATAGATTGAATGCACACAGGTTCGAAGATAGGTTGATAAAATTTATTTTATTAAAAGAAACACTTCAGAATTCTGGAACTTTCCACAGAAATACTCGTACAAGTGTTCACAGTATCACAAAGTATAATTAGTAGTTACGCTTCAAACTTCTAAGAACGTTAAACACAACGCAATGCAATGCGCATTTAAAGAGGGAGCTAACCCAGATATATTTCAGTGCTCCGCGGAACTAACAACCCATAGCTACAACCAAGAGCACATATTCTGTCCGGCTTTATATAGTTTACCCCCCGGCCGCCGAGAAATCTCTAGTACTTCCTGAAATTATTGGAAGGCATGTGGGTACGGTTGCAGTTGCATCTGATGTCAATTACAGTTATTCAATAATAATACCTATTACGGTCGCACAGGGACCGGTCCAAACTATCACTAAGTTTGGCAACTTTTGGCGATTTCTTGCCAAATTTGGTAACGACAATTAGTCGCCAAAACCGTTGCCAGCTTGGCGATAGCCGTTCACTCAATGTTAAATAGACTTACCCCTGTATTTTTATTTTTCTCTCTCTAGATTTTCTAGAGTCTCCTCTCTCTAGATTTTCATGCTACATTATGCAGAAGACTGCAACAGTTTCACATAAAATTTCACCAAAGTTATCTATATATGTACAAAATTCGTAACACTCTGTCGGTATCGATTTTTTAGAACTTTTCCCATTCGCAGCTATGAGGCTGCTTCCATAAAATTTTGTACCTAATTGAAAGAAACTTTAGTTGAAAGTATACGTCTAGAATAAATATTTATAAAAGAAAAGCTCTTATCCACCTTCTTCTAACATCTTTTAAGTGTCGTATGAAAAGAGGTTTACAATGGTAACGAAGATAACAGCCATTTATGCTGCTTAAAAAAAAAGTCTCAAGCCAAATTTTGCCGTTAGCCGTACACGAGATTTCCGGAACAGATAATTTCAGAATGAAGGTTTCTATAAACACCTTTTTACTTTGAAGCAATGTAATGGGAATATTTTTTTTTTATATTCAGCTTAAAAAAGCTACATTGGAAACCATTGTTTTAATAAGAGTATGATTAAAAACCAGATGTTTAATAATTGATTAAGTAAAGTATTTGTTGATTCCGCATTCATTTTTCAAATTAAGTGTATTATTACTGCATACTGAATTAGTTCAAGTATTAAAAAATTGCCATCAGTGCGTCTTCTATTTAGTGCAATTATCATTTTAATCTCTCCGATAAATAAAAATGAATATGAAATCTTTAATGTATCACTATCTTTAATGGGTATTACTAATGTCAATATTGCTATTATCATTACATCTAATCACTAATGTTACCATCATCATTACATCTAATTACTAATGTTACCATCATCATTACATCTAGATCATTCATAACAATGTCACTAATGAGTGTATTTTTCATATTAAGCAAAATACTGCTAGAAATGTCCGGTTAACTGACCAAGCTACAGAACCATCTAATGCTCAAGATCCAAGTCAGTCTGTGGTCGTCATTGGAGAAATCCCGAAGAAGAACGGTAAGACTGATGATGTGTGCATTTCTAGCAATTCGAAAGAATTTCTCAAGTATCAATGACAATCAATCAAGGTATGAAATACATAAACTGCTGTAATCAAGATGTATCGAGAATGACTACATGAAATGAAAGATTTCATATTATTTGTTATATACTTTTAACAGTGGTCCTCTTCTGTTATACAGTGTGATTCTAAATTGTTTTTACAAATTAAGAGAGGAGGTAGTACTCATCCAGATGAGCAATCATTACCATAAAAATGGTTTGCATTCCACTCTGAGAGGCAGAAAAGAGAAATATTAGAATTCCAACCTGATCTTAAACAGTATTGGGAGAGCAAATGAACAAGAGACCGAAAAGTTTGCGCAATCAGTTTAGTGAAAAACTCACCAGAGAGTGCACAAAACGGATAAAACTGAAAACTTGGCGTCTCGAGTGTTAATTCGAGCTCAGGTTTTGATGGCAAACACTCAAATGCATATCTTTGGTTTCGAAGGTCCTCAACCTCGCAAACGATTGCAACAAGTTAATTATCTAATCAAGGGCTGAATATTATCAGCTAACTCCAACTTCCGCTGTATGCCGAGATTAGCATGAAAAATTCATGCTGTGTTCCGGCTGTCAGAACTTCGTGTCCCAGAGAAGGGCCTTTCATGTAGAATAAGCGCAGCACAGTAAGTCTAGGAGGTCAGGATAGAAGACGGAGAAGGGGAAAAAGAACTGTTACCTTAATACTTGATATCAAGGTAGCAGTGTTCCCCCCTAATAGATAATTTCCTCCTAATAATGTAGATAATTAACTTGTTGCAATCGTTTGCGAAGTTGAGACTTTGTCAACCAATGCGCATTTGAATGTTTGCCATCAAAGTCTGAGCTCGAATTAATTCGATTTTATCCATTTTGTGCAGTCTATGTGAGTTTTTCAGTAAACTCATTGCGCAACGTTTGGTCTCATTCATTCACTCTCCTGTTGTAAGTTCATGTTGGAATTCTAATATTCCTCTTTTTTGCCTCTCAAAGTGGAATGCTACCCTATGTTCTATGATAATTATTGCTCATCTGGATGAGTACTATCACCCCTCTTAATTTGTAAAATCAATCTAGAATTACCCTGTATAACGCTTCTGCTTTTCCAATCCTCGAAACATGCTTTTAAATCACATTTGTGAAACCCCCTTCAGCACTTGCACGTATTTCTTTTATTTCATCAATAGATTTATAAAGAGACACTAAAGATTAGTTTCAGTCGTGCAAAGACCAAACTCTTATTGTATCGGAGAAATATGGAACTCTCGTAACCATGTTTGTTGAATTCTTGAGATAGAAATTTACTAAAACAGTACAGAACTGTAGAGACCACTACAGACAACAAGTGCATTTTCTTGGTACAAAAACCAAGAGCAATCCTTCTAAATTTCATGTCGGTTTTACGAACTGCTTCACTGAAGCACTTGAAAACATTCAAATAATACATTTTGTTACCTCAGGGGTTGATAAAACTTCACCATTCACAACACGTCAACAGTAGAAAACATTCAACATTATATGTTTTTTTGAGCAGTTCTGATGTGCTCTTTTTGGTGTGGTGTTATTTTGCTTTTAAGCTCACCAGAGGCCGAGGAGTGAAGTCGCTGAACATTGGTACTTCAGTCCGGGCTTCAAATCCCGGCGAATGAAAGTGGTTTGCACCAAGTGCAACGTATATAAGAGCAGTTTCCTTTAAACAGTATTCCACGAAGGCGCCCTTCCCTTTTGGTAGATGCCCTTGTGTGCTTTGCCGTAATGTGGGGAAAGGCAACGACCATAGTTGATAACACACATTTATTACTATTTACAAATATAGATTACATTAGGATTACAATTAATGAAAATGGTATACGAGCGATCGAGCGACGTCTGCTCCGCTCGCCAGATAAACCTCGTCTTCTCCCGAAGGCGGGAAACACATGCTGACGCAATGCATACGTCATACAGTAGGGGATTAGGGAATATCATGACATAACATTTCCCACAGTAATCAACTGAACAAAACGTTTATATATATATAAACATACCATAAAATAGACTAGAAGAGAAACACGCTAATGTGACAATCAAAATCGTAAAAAACAACCTTATATTTAGCGTAGGTATAATGATATATATATATATCATTATACCTACGCTAAATATAAGGTTGTTTTTTACGATTTTGATACCATAAAATACCATAAAACCATAACCTAATACCATAAAAGGGGGAGGGGAAGAAAAAGAAAGAATGGTATGAACAGAAAAGGGGGGAAGAGAAAGGAAATAATATGAGTGAAGGGTATGGATTTGATACCCGCTTTTTATTTCATTTTTTCCAGGAAGTTAACAGTGGATTTTGAAGTGCGGCTGCTTGTTTTGTCTTGATGCAGTTCTACTGATTGATGGCACTGTGGGGAAAGAAAAGATGTTTCAAATTTGAAAACAGAGAACAAAATATGTTGCTGAAATTATGTGGAGTTGATCTTAACATTTTTCTCCACTCTCTTTCTTTTTAATGTGCCGTTATATATATATATATATATATATATATAACCAGTAACAATCATAAATACCTTTGAAAAACTTTCTTTAGGTTCTGTGAACCATATTTTAAGGTTTTTTTCTTCTGTTTGATGAAAATAAATGGATCTCTTTTTATTGCAGTCATTTAAATACACCCAAGGTTGATCTGTTGAGGCAAAAATTTCCCATTTCAGTGCGGGTAAATGTTTCTCATAAAGAATACTGCAGCACGTTCTGTGTTCGACGATATGACGTAGGGAAAGACCATGCACATTATCTTTTTTCGCCTTTTTAGGATTGAAATCAGCATCAATCACTTTGCATATTTGACACTAGGCATTTTAATGATTTTGATATTGTTCTTTGCTAGGGGATTTTCTTTTAACATCGTACCTTTGCAATATTCGAAACATCCTGTTTTTTCCTTATTTGGAACGATTTTCCACTTGAAGGCAAACTTTGGCGTTTTTTAATTTTTTGTTGACAATTTTACCTATTGTAGCTTTAGATATAAAAAAACCATGGCTTTCACGGCGTTTTGTAATAACTCAATACGAATAATTTTCTTTGCAAAAGAGCACATAGTTCCATGCTAATTCCATGCCATTTTGCATGGAAACAAATGCTTCAAGTAGAAGACGATAATTCATTTTTTCAAAAATATAGTTTCAGTTAAAAAACATATTTCCACGCAGACGACGTTTTTAATAGCAAAGCAAAATCGTCAAAAAATATGCGAACAGCTTCTGTATATTTCCAAACACAAAAGTGTTGCAAGCGACACAAATATTCATGTTTTGGCATTTCTAATTTTTTTTTTTTTTTTGTAAAAATTACGAAATTAAACTTTTTATATGTTGTCCCAATTATAAGTCCCTATACAAATATAAATTCCTATACTTAGGAAACTTTTTACTCATTATAAAAATTAAAATGCAGAACGTCTGGTTTCCATACGACAAAATCGACCGAGGTTCCCTCTTAAAATTGGAAATCATATTCAGGGGTTGTATAAAGTGAAGAGCGAAATATTTGTACTCACAACTAACAAAAAAAATAAAATATCAATTTAGAAAACGATTTCTACGTTAATATATTAAGCATTGCTGTGATATCATTGCATCATCCATTCGTTGGATACAATTTATTTTTAAATATCATATAAAATCTGTATTCCAGAAAACGCATTTTCTCTCTGTATAACACTAGTATGGGCCGATTTCCCTTAGAAAATCCACCGCAAAGTTGATCCTTCTTTTAGGCCGGTAGCTAGCCTTTGCGTTATTTGCAACCCAACAGCGGCCGAGTGATAAAATCGCTGAACACTGATAGTTCTGACCTGGGTTCGAATCTAGGCGAACGAGCTGGCTAAATGGGCGTTTTCATGATTTTCTATATGTGTAACGAGGATATGAGCAATTCCCTTAGAACGTCCTCTACGAAGGCATTCCTACCCTTAGGCAGGTAGCCCTAGCGTATTTTGCCGTAATAAACTAAACTAAAACATACCAAACCTTTCCATTGTTTGCCGTAATTCAAATCTTATCTTAAAAAGCATTATTTGCAGAAGTTTTTTTTTCTGAATCTCTGACTAGAAATTTTCTCTTTTTAATCATATTTATGATAGCTATGCAAACTAAAATTACAGATAGTAAATTATTGGTTTACATATGCGGCAAAAGTGAGTCCCATAAAGTCCGATAAGCCGGAGCCTAATGGCTGTGCACTCCCGACAATTCGATACCTTTATATGGAATATGAGTACTATATGTGATGAATCTACAAGCATGCTATTCGGAAATAATCCTTGGTGTTCGATATTTTCTTCATCATTATGGTTGAATGTGTATGCAGCAAAATTCTGGTATATATAAGCAATTATAATGATAATCGTTTAAACCCTCCGAGCCGCTGAACGTAATCTTAGTATATTCCTTCGGATAATTTCTAGTCACAGTTCTTGGAGATGAAATTTGGTGAATGGACTGAAAAAGGACAAAGCACAATTAGTTATAGTAAAGCATGTAGGAATAAAAAAATTGAACAGTTACCAGGAAGATGGTTTAATTACTAGCTCTTGGTGTAAGACTGCCGAAACATGACCTAACATAATAAGCAAAAAGCAGAGAAAAAGTAATGAGTCTTCATATTTTCTCCAATGAGATTTTAAAAGGAAGATGGACATACGAATTCTTAAGTCTTCACACAACAGCAGCGCAGTATATATACCTAAACAAAAATTGATTATTAATAATAAATTTTTCATATTCTCCGGTTTATCTTCTATGTTTTCAGCCATTAAATGTATTTCTAGATTTTTTCTACATATATATTTTTTGATTTCCAATGACAAGGTAAATACAAAAGTACAAACCAACAATAAAAAGTTTACATAACAGTAACCGAAGTCATTGCTTCACCTGCCCGTTCGCCTGGGTCCGAACCCGGGTCGAATACCAGTACTCAGTAATTAGGCGACTGGTGGACAAGACGTTAAGATGATTCGTATTTTAGGTTATAATTATTTCAGGTTAAG